CTACTGAGCAGTGGTTGTGTCCCGTGAGACTTGATTGGTCACAGATGACAATTCCGGCTCACTGAGCTGTTTCTTCAGTGTCTGCAATTAATATCAAATGTCAAGTAAGGCTGACTTCCAACAATAAGGTCAGAAATATACTCAGTTAAAACAGCATAAGATTTTAGGTTTCTATAAGCCAGTTGAGCTGTCCAGATAAGTCCTCAGGAATAACACCTTCATGTCACCACTCTAGGATGAATTACATAGAAGAGTTTCAAGGGCTTTCCTGCAGCAAGGTTTGCAGAACAACAGAATGATCCTTGTCACTGGTATGTATTTATCACTCAAAATGGTAGGAACAACCTCTTTCAGCCAAAGACATTGGATGTTTTAAGATTCTCTAAGAAGATTTTGAGAACAGAACCTCAGAAAGCACACAATCACAGAGCTAATAATGGTTTCAATCATAAGGAAAGGTGGCTTACATATTTTCGGAGTGGGTAAAGAAGAGAGGTTCTTTGAATTTTTAGTAACTATGTGTACACTTTGCAGTAAATTTACTCTAAATGTGCACACATGTGTGCACATATACATATATACTTTTTGTTTTTTATGTCTATGAGAGTCAAGGGTCTTATAGTCATCAGTAATAAGAAAAAATATATATTTATTTTCTAAAAATATTTTTATAGGATATTGCTAAAAAATTTTAAAAGAGACTAATATGGAAATATGAATAACAATTTGTATTAAAGATATAGTTGGTTTCCTACCTTTTATCTCTAACAAAGTGTTCTTTGCAAGCCCTAAAGTATAGATGTGCTCTTGCTTCAGATGGTCAGAATTATTTTGGTAGTTTGTCAAAGTTGGTAAGAAAGTTGCATTTATCATCATGTTTCCAATATCTTTGAAACAGTGCTTTAAAAGAAACCAATAAAATTTGAATTAAGTATTCACTTTCTTGTTGTCTAAAAGCTGAATTTATGAATTCTATATCCATGACTATCTATTCAACAAAAATTCCACAAATATATGAAGTTGCTTAAAACAAGACTATGAATAATAAAAATGATAGTATAGAAATATACAGTCAAGATTAAGTAATTATAAATAAAGGGAAAACAGGTTGTAGGGAATGATTCAACATGCACACTGAAGTCTGAATCTGAACTTGATCTTGATCATTCTGAGAATGAAGATCTGCACCATGATCATCTTCATCAGACTGGAGATTGTGTGTGACCAAGACATGCCTGTTTCATGCATTCCTTTGTGGTTAGAGGAGAACCCAATAAACCTTATGTGCTCAAAAGAGATGGTGAGAGCGAGATTAGTTTTAAAATTAAGTTTGCATGACATCAATGTCAGCAATTAAAAAATAAAAAAAAAAAGATTTAGTCTATTTTCTTTATTTTTATCAGCACAAGGCCAAGTCACCTGCTTGATTAATTCTCTTAATGGGCTGGTTTTGTTTTCTGTGGATCCATTCTGTGGTGCTTTCACCATTCATAGACTAGTGAAAAGGCACAGTCCATAGGGCATCCTGTTTTTGTCCCCAGGGCCATTTGTTCTTTTGGCATGTCAGCACAATTGGTTGAAACTCTCACCATTATGAGAAAGTCATCCACTAAGAGCTAAGTCTTAAAGCCAGTTCTCCCAACAATGATCTTTAGAAAAGGCAGGGCTTTAAGTAGATGCTGATTCTAAGAGTTCAAGTCTACTGCTGATTATTTAGCTATCTTCTCCTCTATAGCCTACATAGGCACTATCCTGTACAAATGGGCTACAGAGGACAGTGACAGTGATTCTCTCTTTGTACTGCTTGACTTTCATGTAGTGAACAAGGGATTTTATTTTCTTTTTTCCACCAACGGTGTGAACATGAGTTTCTTTCTTATTAAGAAGAAGATAAATCCAGATGATATACAAATTATAATCACCTCTAGTCGAGAACAGAAGTACCTTTTTTCATGAATAAATAACAACAAAAGCAACAAAAGAAAAAAAAGACAAGAAAAATTCACAATATGAGTGTTATAGGAATAGGTAAGAACTGTGTAGTCAAAAGCTTTGGAGAGTCTCACTTGCTGGTATGGCCCTGTGCTACTCCTTGAAGGAGGGGTACTTGGTGAGCAATGAGCAACAAACAGGCAGGATTCATGAAGTTAAAGTGTAAGAAGAAAAACGTTCATGTTGTGCTGCATAAGTTAATATAACTCATAGAAATGTAACTCATGGAGAAGCTGGCTATAAGAAAGAACTTGTTCTTCTCCTACTAGAAGCCTTTTCTCATTCTAAGAAAGCTTTGATCTTTAGGAACACATATTTTCCTAGATTACCAGTTCCAAGGGGCAGACCAGCTTGAAAGGGGGATTTTTAAATACAATTTTGTAATCCTTCAAGTATAAAGTATTCTCTCAAAAACCCTTTTGCTTAATGACCCTGAACTTAAGTGTATACTGCAGTTTTTGCATCTGTGGGGACTCCGATGACCACTTCTGCTGGGGTTGAATATCATAAAATGGTCATTAATTGAGAATAAAAAGGCTCCCAAGGCTAAGGTTAACATGAACAGTGTGGTGTTGCTTCATTCTGGTTTTTGTTCTCTTCACATGTATAAATGTTTGTAAATAAGTTGAATAATGGTCTATGATATATCTATTCACTCAACCACATGATAAGGACATTTTTTTTCTCCCTAGAGCAGACATAGATCCCTATTTGCTGAAAGTTTTTATTGAAGTATAACATATACATAAAAATTGCATCAATCACTAATATCTACTCTGATGCATTTTATAGAGTGAACATACCTATGTAACAAGCAGAAAGAAATAGAAAACTGCTAGCACCTCTGAAATTCCTCTTGTGTCCCCTCTTCCATTTATTAACTGCCCACCCTCACAGCAAAGGTAGCTACTGTCCTGCCGTCTAACACTGTAGATTGACTTTTCCTTTTGGCTTTTATCCAAAATGGTATCATGTGGTATTTTTTTGTATCCGGTGTGATTTTGTGGTTCCATATGTTTGTGAGATTCACCCATATTCTTGCATGAAGTTGTAACTTCTATTCAACAAAATTTAACATTTAAAAAACAAACAGAAAAAAACCCCCACAGAATGGGAGGATATATTTTCAAAGCATATACCTGATACATGAATCATATTTAGAGTATAAAAAGAACTCTTAAAATTAAAAAGAAAAAGACAACCTCATAGAAAATTAGGCAAAAAGGCCTGAACAGGTCTTTCACAGTAGAAGATATCCAAATACATTTCTGTACATGAAAAGTGTTACAATTCATTAGTCATTATGGAGACAAGAAAGCAAACCACATGTGATTCCACTACAAATGCTGGAATAATTAAAACAAAAAGGATATAAAATAACAAGTATTGATATAGATCTGGAATTACTAGAAGTCATATACATTGCTGGTGGGATAGTGATTTTGAATGTTTTGCCAAACAGTTAGGGAATGTCTGCTGGTTTGAGTCCCTGAGATGTAAGAGGGCAATACAGGAATAGATATACAGGATATTTATTGTGGGTGTGGGGTAAAAGCATGAATGGGCAAGGAGAGCCTTTATAGCATAGTGCTGGTCTGGTGGCTGTTAAAGGAGGGGAGGAAGAAAGAGAAGTGGGAAGAAGAGTCTCAGTCTGTAGCACAGTTCCAAGAAACGTTTAGCCAGGAAGTTTGAGTCCTTGAACCAAAGTTGCCAATTAGATGAACACATGTCCCACAGGAATGGGCTTGCTCTTGTACCCACTTTGTGCTCAGTCTTTGGCTGGGAGCAATTTGAAGACAGTGTGGCCTCGGTGCAGTCCCAGTGGTGAATCCAGAAAGCCAGCATCTGGGACAGCAGTCAACTGTACTTCCCATAGCCTCATATCCGAGCAGCCCATTTCCGTGACTTGACATAGGAAGCATCGACCAAATCTGAGCACACATTCCCTGTGATTCAGTGATTCCTCCCTCTAGGAGTACACCCACAGAAATGTGTACATATATTCATCAAAACATATGTGTACATATGTTCACAACAGTGCTGTTTGTAATATCCTATTCCCAGAAACCATCCAAATGCTCACCAACAGTAGAGTGGATAGTAAATTATGATGTAGCCACACAGTGAATTCTTAGACAGCAGACTGAAGCTATTTATTCTAAAAAGTTTTGACATAGTTTTTAATAGTGTAGGTATATTATGGCTTATTTAACTATTTATCTATTGGTGAGCATTTGGCAATGTTTTATTTTTCTCCTGTTACAGATAATCATGTAGTCTCATTTTCAATTTCTTTTCCCTTTATGACTCCTGGGTTTCCTGTCTTTCTTGGAAAACATTCCACTTCCAGTTATAGTCCCCCCAGCTCCCGCAATTTTCTTAGTGTTTTTGAATTTTGTTTTTTTACCTTTAGAAAAAGCATCCTGAAATTTATTTTAATATTTGTGGTGAGGTATCTAATTTTTTTATATAGATATGATTTTCCAATATCATCGGCTAAATAATCCATTCTTTTCCTATTAATTTGAAATGATGATTTTATCACATAAAAAATATCCATATATATTGGGATCTGTTTTTGAGCTGAGTTATTTTTGGTGAATCTATTTGTTAATTTTGGCATCAGGGTTATGCACCTATAAGTACTCTGATTTTTAAATCTCTTTTGGTATCATAGGGGAAAACCTTTAATTCTTACTATTTTTTTTTTTATGATATTCAAGTCTTTTCAATGATGGTTACTTTCCAGATAAGACACATTTGTTTAGACCATCTCTTCAGGCTATCTGATTCATTCATTAAAGTTTTATGGTTTTCTTCTTGTGAATCTGCACCTTTTCTTCTAGGTAGATGTTTTATAAATTTTGCTACTATTATTGATGCTATTTGTTTTTCTAGTTGGATATTCTTGGTACTAAAAGAAACATTGGTTTTTAAACATTAGTTTGACTTTCTTATATTTCTAATTGCTTCTAGTTGATCTACCACCTTTTGAATGTTTCCTCTAGCACTTGGCTGTATATGACCGTCTCAGTTCTGATCCAACCTCCAAGGCAGTCCACATGTCTGCTCTTCTAGGACCTGCATCCTGTGTACAAAGGCAATTGTGGCATAATGGGAAGAGTGCTGAACATGGACTAAGAGGACACAGGTGGGGCCCTGCTTTGTGCTTTCTGTATGATATTAGCCAGGATTGAATAAAGCTGTTTGTGTCAGAAAACCACAAAAATAAAAGTGGCATAAGTACATAAGACCTTATTTTTGTTATGAAATAATCTGAAAATGGGAGTCATGGGCTGGTAAAGTAGTTCATGAAATTGTCCCTGACAGCCCTAGGACAAGAGTCTCATTCCTATGTTCTAAGAAGGTATCTGTGCCAGTGATTATGTCTGATTCCAGGCCAGTGGTACGAAGAACTGAGATAGCCCCCTGTGGACTTTTCTTTAAAGCCAATTCTTTAGAATCATTCACAATCCTTTCAGTTGCAGACCTTGGGATGAACCTTCTCTCATGGCCTTGCCTCGTAGTAAGAGTCTGTGTAAGTATAGACTTGCTAGTGAGTACCATGACCACTAAAATTAAGGTGTTTGTTACTTAGGAAAAATGGATGGAGGAGGTATCTAGCAGGCTCTGTTGAATCACTAAATACTTACATAAATGTGTGCTAATTCAACTTTTTTTTTCATAAAAGAAAGCACATTTTTCTCATTATAAAACATACTTCCATTAAAAACCATTCACACAAAGCAGGAAATTTGAAGACAAAGATAAACAGTGACTGAAATTTTACTATTTGAAGATAAATTATCATCACCATTTCAGTGAATATTTTCATACTCTTTGTACATACACTATATAATTTTCTAGAAATAGCATTATTTCATGCATTCCTTGATTTTTTTTTAAACCTGTTGGGCATGCTTTGTCTCATGGTATTTGTATTTATGATCACCTGTATCTAGAATGTTCTTTCATTTGGTATTTAATGTAGCTCTTTCTTTTCCTCCTTAGTAGAGGTAGCCCTTTCTTGGTCCATAGGTATGTCTAGCTTCTTCACTTTCTGAGCATGGTTAGGCCCTCATGTCTTCAGTGTGGTCAGATTTTGCAATTCCTTAGTATGACTAGCTCCTTTGCTTCTGTATGTAGGTAGCTCCCTCCCTTCCTCAGCCTGACACACTCCCTCCTTCATGTAGGATGGCTAACTCTTCACATTTTCATTATGGCTAATTTCTTTTCTTCCTCCACGTGGCTGGCTCTGTCACTTCTGCAGTGCGGCCATCTTCTTCACTTCTGTGGTATGGCTTTCTCCCTTTCTTCTGTACTGTGGCAACTCCTGACTGTCTCCGTGTGACCAGCTAGCTGCTTCACTGCCTCTGTAACTAGTTTTCTGCTTCTTTCAAGCTTGTGCTCAAATGTCAGTGACTACTCCCTGTATAATTGTACATCTATTCCCCTTTTTATATTTTGTTTTCATTTTCTCCATGGACTGTATAATAACCTTCTAAGTTATATAACTTTGCTATTTTTCTGGTTTTCTATTTCCTCCCTAAGACAGTGGAAATTCCATGAAAGGGAAATCTTGGTCTTCCCTGCCCACTGTTTATCCAGTGCCTGGTATGGGCCTAGTGTATAGCAGGTACTCAGCGACTCCCTGCACTTCAAAACACCCGAGTCCATCAATGATCGTGAGGATTAAATGAAGTAACATGGACAACACTTAGCAAGCAAAGGGACAGTCAGCGGAGGCTCAAACGAGGACTGTTTTTGCTGCTGTGGCTTTTATTTAGACTTCTATGTCCCTCCCAGAGCACTAACCACCACACCTCTGGGCTGTTTATTCCCATGTCTACCTCCTCCACCATCTCCATGAAGGCTCCAAAGGTAAAAAATTGTTTTTGAATCACTAGCCTAGTATACAGTAGGTGCTCTACAAATTTGAATTAACTTGAATCATTTCTGACTATTCCTAAAACTTCAGACTGCCATACTTTCTAATTTTCAAATGTTTTCCTCCTCGCCCTGCACTGCAATATTTATGAAGCTATTTGGTACTCAGAGGAAATCAGGTCTTAGCACAGCTGAGTCTATCTTCTCTCCAGTCAGTGGCTTTGTTGAAAGCTCATTTTAATAAATTCGCCAGAGAGGCATTTTTGAATAGGAAGAGTCGTGGAGCTTTGTGAAACGTCCAGGTGGAATAAGCATTAGATGCTTTTGTTATTTCTGCCACTTTGGTTAATGAAACTGTTCCCTTTATAATATAATTAGAGCATGAACAATTCTCTCACCAAATATAAAATGACACACATAGGATCTTGTTACTCAAGTGTCCCTCGGAAGAGTCACAGGAAATCATTCAAACACACAACTTGACCTACTAGGATAAATCCAGCCAATTAAGAAAGTGGTAAGTAATTCCAGGAGAGAAATTTTAATTCTTATTAAAGATGCTCAGTGTTCCCTTTGTATCAAGTTGCCTGTTATTATTTGTTTTAAGGTTCCACGGAGGCCATTATATAAACATGTTTCTTTTTGTGTCCAGGCAAGGCATTTTTATGAGTGTGCTAATGTTTGTGTTTCTCAATACAAAGTTAGAATTTAAGGAGGAAAAAAGCATGACTCTAGTGATCTTGAGATTAATGACAAAATTAGCCTTAAATTCAGTGGTCTAACTCCTAATTGTGCAAGATAAGTCAGAGAAAAACATGTCATGCCCAAGAGAAGCAATTCAGCTCTTCTTCAGGGTCTATTAGGTCAGATATCCTTCTACAAGACAAGAGATTCTTTGTTCTCCATTGTAGAAGGTGGTATTATATAAATTGTGTCCACACCACAACACTGGATTGCTTCACATTTATGTGTCCTGACTTTTCTTTCCATCTCTCCATCCTATTCCACATATTTTCTGGAATAAGATTTTTTATTTTTTGCTTAAGGACTTCATAAAGTATGTTCATTTTTCTTGGCTAAAAATGTCTACCCACAGTCAAGAAAATGAACTCAACCAAACTGAAACATCTTGAGGTTTAATTGAATTGCATTGATTTCCTTCATCAACTTGAATGGCTTGAGATCTGCATTGATCATCTGTGACTGTGTGGTTGATGTATAATGACTTAAAAAAAAAAAAACTAAGTAACTCACATGTGTGATTTTGGCAGAGATATACCTTACATTTTTAGACATCTTCTAATTACTAACGTAGGATGAACACTTTGCTTTGAGTCATGTTTAAATTTGTAAAATGTGTGATATTTTAAGTTTGCCAGACTTTGACATGGTCCTTCATGCTGTTTGCAAGAAGAGGTCAATATCTAGTGTCATTTCTTTTCAAATACTTTCTCCCCCTTTCACTCAAAGATGCCATGTACCTTTGGGAAGTAGTGAGCTTAGTTGAAAGGGCCTGAGTGTTAGCTTTTGAGAGAATCAGATTCACACCTCCACTGTCATTTATTAGCTCTGTGGCCTTTCGCCACCTCTTAATATATCTGAGTCTTATAAAACACAGCCAATAATACCTACTTTACAAGATACTAAACAGGAGAAAAATCAACATTTACATTGCTTGGATTTTTATCTAAGTTAGGATTTGAAGAAGTAGTGCTCTTACTTTCTTTACTACATTGTTTTTTAAAATTATTGGCTTGGGGAAATTCCAGTAGATGGTGTTTTAGTTAAATTAAAGAAAAAGCATATCATAATTTACACCAGGCTTTATAGAGAAAATAATAATTTTAGAGCTATGTTGATTATTATGATTATTAGTAATAGTAATTCTAGTCCCCGAATAAAGGCTATTTAACACACCACATGATGATTTTGCATTTTCATAGATCAATGTCCCTTTCAGGGTCATTGAGAATAGCTTGTCACATATGGAAAAGTCATTCCTATATATTTCATCAAATAAAAACTTTGAGCTATTAGTTTGGGAGAGCAGGAAAAAAAGAGGGCAAAGATGTGTTTGAGAGTCATGTAGTAACGAACAAAATGTGGGTGACTTAGAATGCCTGAAGAGTGATTAAATTGTTTTAAAGGTTGGTGAGTAGGTGGATATTTTGACTCTATCAAAACTAGAGTCAATGCGAAGCTCATTGTGCAAAGGAATAAAATGGCAGGGGCAAGAGGGGCAAAAGAAGCCAGTGATTTTAGACTTAGTAAGTCAGGCTGTAGAAGGGTAAACAGACTGAAGACTCCATTCGCTTCTCAACAGGCCAGCTGAGAGAAAATACATGGACACAGAAAAGATACTTTGGGTCATTCTGCTAACTTGAAAGTAAAAACCTTGCATACACATAATGCTGGCAATAATGAACTTTAATTAAGCCTGCATGGTGTGTGTGTATGTGTGTGTGTGTGTGTGTGTGTGTTATTTTTTCCCCTGAGGAATTTTTCAGAGGCATCACCAAGTTTTTATTTTATTTTATTTTATTGCCTGTGGTGTAATTTCCCCGACTTATTTCAGCCATGGTGTTATTGATGCAGTGGTAATAGTTTGTAAAAGCTCTTACCTATGTCATGACCTCTTTGGCATTTAATTCAAACACAGAAGCCAGAAGAGAAGAAAATTCCTGTTTTATAGACAAAATGCCAGAAATTCTAAGGTATTCAGTATTCAACACAGTAACTGATATTTTGACTTTTGCAGTCTGAAAGAATCAAGTGTGTCCAATATTTTCATTAAAATGATGTGGTAAGACTTGCTGAAGCTTCCTGTCTGGCTGTGTTCAGTTGCAAGTATGTTAACAAATGGCTAAGGGGGGCCAAGGTGAGGTGGGGCCCTGGTGGAGGTTTCAGGGGTTAGAGAAGCTGCTTCTTCCCAAAGGGACACTGATGCAGCAAGTGTGGCTGGACAGAAGGGAGAAGAATAAAAAAGTTGCATCCTGGAAGAGATGCAAAGGACCTGTTGAGAGGGCATTCTTAGGAAATGGGGTTGCAGAAATCCAATTAAGGAACCGGAACCTGCCTGCTGAAGTGGTCTAGGAGGGCTACGGAGACAAAGTGCGAATCCTTGCCGTGGCTCTTGTGCTTCTAGTACATTGGCATGGACAGATCATGCTTTTTGAAAGATCCTGGGAGGAGTGATCAGACTCACCAAATGGATCCCAGCAGTGGCTGTGGGCATGCGACCAACAAACCTCATTCACTACATGTCCTGGGTCTAGTTGCTTATCTCTAAAAGGAGGAGTTTAATTGTATGATGGTTAAAGATCTACCCAGGCA